ATATATATATATATATATATATATACACACACACACACACACACATACAGTACTTACTAGACACTTTATTAGGTAGACCTTGCTATTACTGGGTTGGACTCAGTTCAGAACTGCTTTAATTCTACTTTAATCATGGTATAGATTCAGCAAGGTGCTAGAAACATTCCTCTCCTCAGAGAATTTGGTCCAAGTTGGCATCATAGCATCACGCAGTTGCTGCAGATTTGTCGACTGCACATCCATGATGCGACTCTCCCGTTTCACCACATCCCAAAGGTGCTCTATTGGATTGAGATCCAGTGACTGTGGAGGCCATTGAGTAAAGTGAACACAACTGTCATGTTCAAGAAACCAGTTTGAGATGATTTGAGCTTTGTGACATGGTGCATTATCCTGCTGGAAGTAGCCATCAGAAGATGGGTACACTGTAGTCATAAAGGAATGGACATGGTCAGCAACAATACTCAAGTAGGCTGTGGCGTTTAAACCATGCTCAATTGGTACTAAGGGGCCCAAAGTGTGCCAAGAAAATATCCCCCACACCATTACACCACCACCACCAGCCTGAACCGTTGAGACAAGGCAGGATGGATCCATGCTTTCATGTTCTTTACGCCAAATTCTGACCCTACCATCTGAATGCCGAGACTCATCAGACCAGGCAACGTTTTTCCAATCTTCTATTGTCCAATGTTGGTGAGCCTGTGCGAATTGTAGTCTCCGTTTCCTGTTCTTAGCTGACAGGAGTGGCACCCGGTGTGGTCTTCTGCTGCTGTAGCCCATCTGCTTCAGGGTTCTTCGTGTTGTGCGTTCATAGGTGGTATTCTGCATACCTTGGTTGTAACGAGTGGTTATTTGAGTTACTGTTGCCTTTCTATCATCTCAAACCAGTCTGCCCATTCTCCTCTGACCTCTGAACCTCCACTCACTGGATATTTGCTCTTTTTTGGACCATTCTCTATAAACCCTAGAGATGGTTGTGTGTGAAAATCCCAGTAGATCAGCAGTTTTTGAAATACTCAGACCAGCCCGTCTGGCACCAACAACCATTACACGTTCAAAGTCACTTAAATCCCCTTTCTTCCCCATTCTGATGCTCGGTTTGAACTTCAGCAAGTCGTCTTCACCACATCTAGATGCGTAAATGCATTGAGTTGCTCCCATGTGATTGGCTGATTAGCAATTTGTGCTACCAAGCAATTGAACAGGTGTACTTAATAAAGTGGCCGGTGAGTGTATATAAAATGTGTAATGGTCTCCACAAAAATATTAAGCCGCAAAAACTTTTCAACATTATATATTTAACATTTATTTATATTTTTACTGTTCTTTTAATCAAAAGAGACTTCTTTCAAAAACAGTTATTAAATTATAAAGAATATATATATATATATATATTCCACACATTTCACTGGTAGTTTAACTGTCTCAGATGTGCTTGTTTTGTCTTTTTCTTGTGTATTTTACATTTGCATGAAATGCAAATAATATCTAACAACTAATGAACAGCCCCTGTAATTGTACACCAGTCATCACCAACCAGCTGTTGTGGAGTTCCATCTGTCATATGTTCGACATAACTGATTTCCACTCAAATATAACAAGCAAAACACATACTGTATAATCTAAATATGACAGATTTTACCCTCAGATAAAGCACACGCAGACGTTAAGTCCAGCACATTGCTGAATATCAATGAGTGAGGGGGGGAAACAGGCGTTAATAAAAGGATGATTGTTGCCGCTGGCTGGAGTAGGCAGAGGCATGGATGGAATTGTGCCCCTATTTCAATGCATCTATTGCACATCAGCTGTAAGGGTTGTAACACATTCCCAAGGGCTAATTCTCTGGATTTGTCTATAGGATCCAGTGGACATTAAGAGCAGCGCAGAGCCGGAGCCGGAGGCTGAAGCTCTCGAACCCAGTCCTGTGGAAGCCGCAGAAGAAAACAACCCGTCAGAGGAGGTCAAAGCAGCAGAAAAGACAGTTATGAACTTTTTCAAAACATTTGTAAGTGCATTTGAATTGCTTTGTTTCTTTTAATACTTTTGAATGCAGTTCTAATTCTCTTTCAAATCAAATGCATGTTTTAAACTAAGCTACAATGATCAATTTCAATATTATTGAGAAACGTAACCATGCAGTGTTCATGGAATATGAATTATAAGCATAACAAGTGTGCATTTGTCTCTAACTGAACAATCTAGACATGTTGTGCCAGACTACAATGATGCATTTTTACTCCATCATTGTGGTGTTTGTTACACTGCATCTTTAATCTGTTAAACTCTGCTAAATCAAACCTTTGGCCATGTCAGACTGTGGCAGGCTTTTGTTTGCTGCATAATGTGAGCTCACAAGGGAGGCCTGTGCATTCGGAGTTGTGATAAAGCACGGGAAGGCCTACGCCATCTCCAGAGGACAATGGCTGACTCAATAGCAGAGACATGTTCGGATTGGCCCCTGCCAGCGAGCTCTTTGTGTGTCTGTGGCAAAGCCAGCTCGGCTGAACTGCGTCTGGGTTTGACAGACGGCCATTATATTTTTGATATCTCAATCTTCAATGAGTAGGCCCGGTTTGGAGACATGGAGTACCTGAAGGAGCAGTATATGCTTAAACACGCCACTCTGATGGTGTTTCACAGTCACTCTAATGTTTACGTGTCTCCGTTCTCTTTTCTGCATGCGAAGGTCACTCCGACCAAAACAAGCAAAGAAGCCAAAGCCACTCCTGATGCTTCAAAAGAGCAGGTAATAAAACCTTGACTGTCACAACATTACTCGTTCATATTCATGAGATATTATTTTTAATAATTATTATAGGGCTGGATATTTTTAAAATGACTCCCCAAAGTCTAGTCATTTTTTATATGACTCCATTATATTATATTATATTGTATTGTATTGTATTGTATTGTATTGTAATTTTTAAGTTTTGAAATGATTGTCATAATATTATTAATATTATTATAATATAATATTATTCAATATTATAATATAATCAGTTATAATATAAGGCTTTCATTTCTGCAGAGGATTGTTTTTAATAATTATTATAGGGCTGGATATTTTTAAAATGACTCCCCGAAGTCTAGTCATTTTTTATATGACTCCCTAAATTCATTCATTCATTCATTCATTCATTCATTCATTCGTTTATTCATTCATTCATAATAAATGTATAAATAAATAAATAAATAAATAAATATAAAATAAATATTTTTTTATGTATGTAAGCTTTATTTATACATTTATGAGTAAATATTAAATAAATACAAATTGTATTATCAATGTATTTAAGCATGTTTTTATACAAATGTATGATATTCTATGACATTTTTTCATGAATAAATGCATATAACATAAACAATAATTTTTTTAATTTATTTTTAATCTCTCTAAGCATGCATTATTTATTTACGCATGCTCTATAAATGTATTAATAAATAAATAAAATAAATACAAAATGTATTATTTTATTACATTGTTTGTTTATCTAAGCATGCATTATTTATACATGCATAAGTAAATACATACAAAATAAATATACAATTTAATTTTTTTTTTTTTTTTTCTAAGGATGTTTAATTTATTTATGAATTTATGAATAAAATAGAAATTTAGAAAAAAAAATATTTATTCATTGATTGTTTTATTTATTTATCTAAGCATGCGTTATTTATTTACGCATTTATGAATTTATAGTTTTATGCATTTGTAGATTTATGTCTAAATAAATAAATAATTCAAGCTTAGATTTTTTTGGGTGAAAAAAAACTCTATATATTATAGCAAGATATAGTGATTAAATAATATTTATTGTCCTCATGTTTATTCTTCAGTCACAGAAAGAGACCCCACCAGCACCATCAACAGATGTGAGCCATTTCATTTGCATCACATATTTTATTGCTTTTATAATATTTCCATGTTTTTGCATCATTTTTTTAATCATATTTTCGCAAACACCATAAGCGATACAATAACGCCACAGGAAAGCTGCTGTAAAAAAGAATTGTTTTTGAGAAGTGCTTTGTTGACAATGAAGCATTATAAAAGAATAAATAAAAATGTATACCTACCTGCCGTTTTATGCTTGAAATAAAACAAACTGCACTCTTTTCTAAGGTACAGGAAGCACCGAAGGCCCCTCCTCCTCCTCCCCCAGCTCCACCTAAGATGGAAAGCAAAGCAGAGCCGGCGGTGAAGAAAGAGGAAACGTCTGCAACAAAAGCAGCGGCAGCAGCTGCAACAAAAGCAGAGGGATCTGCCAAGAGCAAAACTAAAACATTAAGCAAACTCTTCCGTTCAAAGGTAAGCTCGAACCTGACAGCAGTAACAATAAACCACATTAATAAAGTCTTTCTGTCTGGTTCTGGGGTAGGCCTGGACTCTTATTATACATTTCTAATCTATATGTAGCGTATGTGGCACACTATAACAGAGTAATGTGAATTTGAGGTGTTGCTAGGCAAAGTGGTGTCAAAAGTTCAGGCGGCGACCAGCAGTGGAGCCAGAGCTAAGACGTCAGGAGTGGTAAATGATAACAAGCACAGGCTCTTCTGATATTAACAGAACTGACCCATTACTGTTAATTCCAGACATGCAAATTAATACAAAGAGCTACTGTTGTTTTTCCTTTTGTGTGAGAGAGCTGGAATCAGAGCCTAAATCTAACGTTTTGCCACACCTGCCAATGCCAAAATTTATGTCATACATTTTTTTTACCAGCCATGAAACTATGTTCATTATTTCATTTAAAAAACAGGCAGAACAAACTGGGGAAACAGATCTGATTGCTATAATAATAATAATAATAATAATAATAATAATAATTATGATTATAATAATAATAATAATCATAATAATAATAATTATTATTATTATTACTATTAATCAAATTATAAAGTTAAATCGATTAAAATATCACTATAATGTTTTTAATTGTAAAATATTTCATGATAATAATTTTATTATATAATAATAATATTGTTATTGTTATTATTACTATTATTTAATCAAAGTATAAAAATAAATCAATAAAGAAATACCACTATAATACTATTGAATTGTGAAATATTTCATGATAATAATTTGAATGTATATAATAATAATAATAATAATAATAATAATAATAATTATTATTATTATTATTATTATTTAATCAAATTGTAAAAAGTAAACAAATCAATAAAGAAATATCACTATAATATTATTGAGTATTTCATTATAATAATGTTTTTCTTTGTATAATTAATTTCATAATAATAATAATAATTAGTAGCAGTAATAGTAGCTAATCAAAATATAAAAAGTAAACAAATCAATAAACAATATTACTGTAATACTAATGAATTGTAAAGTATCTCATAATAATTAATAATAACATGTAAATAATAATACCAATAAATAATAATGGTAATAATGATGATTGGCGCATGTTGCATTAATTATTCATGTTGTAAGAGACTCCAACTCACAGTTCAGGTCGAGCAGCATTGACTGAAAACCGTGAAAGAAGTGCTTATTTATCAGATTATATATTTATATATGTACAACTCAGTCTTTGCAATTTAATAATCACGCTAAACCATATCGCATTCTCTGGCATTGTTAGAATTAATAAAAAAGTTACCAGCCAACTGGCGTGCAGCACAGTTTCATATACCTACCCATGCTGATCTTTACTCACATTTGGAGTATGGCGAGTGTTAATTGTAGGCTCTGGTTATAATGCATAATATCCAGAGGTAGAAAATGTGTTTGCAATGTTTTCCCACACAGGCATAATACATTATGCCATTCAATTAGCGGAAAACTCATTGGAAATAATGAATGAATCAGTGAAGGTCCGTTATGGTGACATCATGTTGACAGCAGCCATTACCTCATGTCACAACAGCCGCCAACTAAACCATGTGACTCTCCATTCCACCACTTCATAACTGACATCAGATTTATCCAGCGACCGGAGGCTCTTGTAAGGCTTTGTGTGACCAGTGACTCAGTGTTTGTCCCTGCTAGGATAAACGGCCAATTGTAAAGTGCCATAGGAATTGTAGATTATTGCAAAATTAATGCCAATATGTGCTTGCCTGCAGCCTGTTGTGGTGGAAGAGAAAAAGCCGGTTGAGGTGCAGGTAAATACATTTAGCTGATCGATTGTCTCTTTGCACGGTGGTGGGACTGTCTTCCTAAATAAAATCATTCATCTAATATTTACACTTTTGTACTTGAACAGGGTATAAAGCAGTGTTGCAATTTTAGTAACATGTGAAGATTTTATCTAATGTTGCGCTTTTTCTTTTCTTTTTTGTTTGTTAACATCTATCCAACTTTTAAAATTATATAAAAGTGTCCAAAATTTGACTGAAACCTTTCTGAGAAAATGAATATTCTCAGTCAATTTTTACACAAATTATAGTTTTGGTTGTATTTATCAAAATCGGCCATTCAAGCCTGTTACCAAAATACGTTTATGGGACATATAATTATATTAGTAACTATAAACCAGCATTTGGTCCCAAAATATATATATATAAAAAAAAAAAAAAAAATGTAGGCTTATCTTCAACCCTGTTACCTATTTTGGATTTTTGAAAAAAAATAAAAACATTGCATTTAGCTTCCCATACAGCAAAAAAATATATTTTCAAATATATATATCTCGAAATATACAAAAAAATTCTAAAAATATATATTTGCTAAAATATGTTTCAAAATATATTTAAGTAAATATATTTTTGGCCATTTTCTGTATATTTTTTAATGTTTTAAATGTATAAATATATTTTTAGAAAGCATAAAAAAATATATTTTGCCATCTATATTTCAGTCCAAAAACATGCCACGTGTCACGTTTAAAGAAAAACTTGATTTGTTGTCTATAACGTGTGCAAACATATAACACATTTAAATAAAAATCAGTGAGGAACATAATTTAAAGTGCTCCAAAAATGCAATATTGCAATCTATAAAAATATTAAACATTATTAAATCATTATAAATCTCCTTTTGATCACTAGTAGGCCATCCATATTTGTATTTAGGCTAAATGTAGGCTACTGTAAGACTGGAAATTTATTTTCTTGCCCCTGAAATACATTTAGAAATATGTTTTGGTATAAGGTTGAAAGGTTGGTACAGTATAAGGTTGAAACTAAATATATTATATTTTGGCCACAAAAAAAAAAAAAATTTTTTTGCTTTGTTTGCCATATGGGTTTTCATGCAATTTAACAATTTATTTAACAATTTTGTTAACTGGGTTGCAAACTATTTATATAGCTTATATATAGTTAGTTTAACGCAGTACACATAGCAAGTTTTTTTTTTATTTTCTTTTTTTTTTATTATATAATAAATCAAAAGAAAATAGATAGAATACAAAAAGAATAGAGCAAGCTAGTTTTAGAGGCCTTTTTTGTTTTTTTGTTAATTGTATTATAAATAAAAAGAAAACAAAGATAGAATACAAAAAGAATAGAGAAGCTAGTGTTATTTTTATTTTTTTTTAAGAAAACAAGCAGTTAGTAAATGCAAGTCTAATGCAAGTCTTTTTTTTAAGAATAGAATTAGAATAGAGAGTGCTAGAGATGTGTTTTAGCTGATTCTTGACTCAGCTGCGCGGATTGAGCTGGGCAGGTCATTCCACCAGGAGGGAACATTTAATTACCAACTGCTCCCCGGGCGCCGCAGCATAAAATGGCTGTCCACTGCTCCGGGTGTGTGTTCACGGTGTGTGTGTGTGCACTTTGGATGGGATCAATGCAGAGCACTAATTCTGAGTATGGGTCACCATACTTGGTAGAATTAGAATAGAGAGTGCTAGAGTTAGAGGGTCAAATAAAGAGATGTGTTTTAGCTGATTCTTGACTCATAAAGTGCCATAGGAATTGTAGATTATTGCAAAATTAATGCCAATATGTGCTTGCCTGCAGCCTGTTGTGGTGGAAGAGAAAAAGCCGGTTGAGGTGCAGGTAAATACATTTAGCTGATCGATTGTCTCTTTGCACGGTGGTGGGACTGTCTTCCTAAATAAAATCATTCATCTAATATTTACACTTTTGTACTTGAACAGGGTATAATGCAGTGTTGCAATTTTAGTAACATGTGAAGATTTTATCTAATGTTGCGCTTTTTCTTTTCTTTTTTGTTTGTTAACATCTATCCAACTTTTAAAATTATATAAAAGTGTCCAAAATTTGACTGAAACCTTTCTGAGAAAATGAATATTCTCAGTCAATTTTTACACAAATTATAGTTTTGGTTGTATTTATCAAAATCGGCCATTCAAGCCTGTTACCAAAATACGTTTATGGGACAGTTTATGGGACATATAATTATATTAGTAACTATAAACCAGCATTTGGTCCCAAAATATATAAAAAAAAAAAAAAAGATGTAGGCTTATCTTCAACCCTGTTACCTATTTTGGATTTTTGAAAAAAAATAAAAACATTGCATTTAGCTTCCCATACAGCAAAAAAATATATTTTCAAATATATATATCTCGAAATATACAAAACAAATTCTAAAAATATATATTTGCTAAAATATGTTTCAAAATATATTTAAGTAAATATATTTTTGGCCATTTTCTGTATATTTTTTTAATGTTTTAAATGTATAAATATATTTTTAGAAAGCATTAAAAAATATATTTTGCCATCTATATTTCAGTCCAAAAACATGCCACGTGTCACGTTTAAAGAAAAACTTGATTTGTTGTCTATAATGTGTGCAAACATATAACACATTTAAATAAGGAGGAACATAATTTAAAGTGCTCAAAAAATGTAATATTGCAATCTATAAAAATATTAAACATTATTAAATCATTATAAATCTCCTTTTGATCACTAGTAGGCCATCCATATTTGTATTTAGGCTAAATGTAGGCTACTGTAAGACTGGAAATGTATTTTCTTGCCCCTGAAATACATTTAGAAATATGTTTTGGTATAAGGTTGAAAGGTTGGTACAGTATAAGGTTGAAACTAAATATATTATATTTTGGCCACAAAAAAAAAAAAATTTTTTTGCTTTGTTTGCCATATGGGTTTTCATGCAATTTAACAATTTATTTAACAATTTTGTTAACTGGGTTGCAAACTATTTATATAGCTTATATATAGTTAGTTTAACGCAGTACACATAGCAAGTTTTTTTTTTATTTTCTTTTTTTTTTATTATATAATAAATCAAAAGAAAATAGATAGAAAAAATATATTTTGCCATCTATATTTCAGTCCAAAAACATGCCACGTGTCACGTTTAAAGAAAAACTTGATTTGTTGTCTATAATGTGTGCAAACATATAACACATTTAAATAAGGAGGAACATAATTTAAAGTGCTCAAAAAATGTAATATTGCAATCTATAAAAATATTAAACATTATTAAATCATTATAAATCTCCTTTTGATCACTAGTAGGCCATCCATATTTGTATTTAGGCTAAATGTAGGCTACTGTAAGACTGGAAATGTATTTTCTTGCCCCTGAAATACATTTAGAAATATGTTTTGGTATAAGGTTGAAAGGTTGGTACAGTATAAGGTTGAAACTAAATATATTATATTTTGGCCACAAAAAAAAAAAAAATTTTTTTGCTTTGTTTGCCATATGGGTTTTCATGCAATTTAACAATTTATTTAACAATTTTGTTAACTGGGTTGCAAACTATTTATATAGCTTATATATAGTTAGTTTAACGCAGTACACATAGCAAGTTTTTTTTTTATTTTCTTTTTTTTTTATTATATAATAAATCAAAAGAAAATAGATAGAATACAAAAAGAATAGAGCAAGCTAGTTTTAGAGGCCTTTTTTGTTTTTTTGTTAATTGTATTATAAATAAAAAGAAAACAAAGATAGAATACAAAAAGAATAGAGAAGCTAGTGTTATTTTTATTTTTTTTTAAGAAAACAAGCAGTTAGTAAATGCAAGTCTAATGCAAGTCTTTTTTTTAAGAATAGAATTAGAATAGAGAGTGCTAGAGATGTGTTTTAGCTGATTCTTGACTCAGCTGCGCGGATTGAGCTGGGCAGGTCATTCCACCAGGAGGGAACATTTAATTAAAAAGTCTGTGAAAGTGATTTTTGCCTCTCTGGAATGGCACAATAAAGCGAACGCAAGCTTCTAGAGGGCACATAAGTCTGAAGTAATGAATTTAGGGAAAGGGTGTCCACGGTGCAGAGCTAGTGGTAAGCAAACATTAATGCCTTTTTATGCGAGCAGCTATTGGTAGCCAGTGCAAATTGATAAACAGAGGTGTGACGTGCATTCTTTTCGGCTCATTAAAAATTAATCTTGCTGCTGCGTTCTGGATTAATTGTATAAATTTAATAGAACTGGCTGGAAGACCTGCCAAGAGAGCATTGCAATAGTCCAGCCTGGACAGAACATAACTCCAAGGTTTCTGGCTGTTTTTGAAGGAGTTATGGTTGATGTGTCTAACTGGATGGTGAAACTGTGATGAAATGATGGGTTTGATGGAACCACAAGGCAAGGCAAGGTCGAGTTGAAGGTGATGGTCCTTCATCCAGCAAGAAATGTCAGACAAGCTGAGATGCGAGCAGCTATCGTCAGATCATCAGGATGGAATGAGAGGTAGAGTTGAGTGTCATCAGCATAGCAGTGATATGAAAAGCCGTGTTTCTGAATGACAGAACCTAGTGATGCCATGTAGACAGAGAAGAGAAGTGGTCCAAGAACTGAGCCCTGAGGCACCCCAGTAGTTAGATGTTACGACTTGGACACCTCACCTCTCCAAGATACCTTGAAGGACCTATCTGAGAGGTAAGACTCAAACCACTGGAGTGTAGTTCCTGAGATGCCCTTTGCCAATAGGGTTGACAGTAGGATCTGGTGGTTAACCATGTCAAAAGCAGCGGACAGACCCAGCAAGATAAGTATAGAAGATTTGGAATCCACTCTTGTCAAGTCTTAGGGTGTGTGTATATATATATATATATATATATATGTATATATATTGTTTGCAACCCAGTTAACAAAAGTGTACCTTTTTTTTCTTTTCATTTTGTACTATTTTGTACGCTAAAAGAGTTTTGGTCAGATATACACATCAATATCTGAAAGAAAAAAAACCCAGTAGTCAGATGTTAAGTTGATCTGTTTTAGTCTCTCTACTGATGATTCAGTCGAAAGCTTTCACACAATCAGTTGACCATCTTCTTGAATCCTCTTCTCACTGTTCTTTTCATTTGCTGTATATAAAACAGTCTTCTCTGATCTTCCTCCGACACATCAGGTCGACGCGTCTAAGACCAGCACTCTCGAGGCCGCTGCCAAACCTGAAGAACCTCCAGCGCCAAAAGCAGAGGAGAAGAAACTAGAGAAGAAATCCACTTTTGGAAACATGTTCAAACCCAAGGTAAAGACGGGATGCGTGGAGTGCAGGTGTGTGAGTGTATAAGATGTGTTAGTGCATGCAGTAACAGCTGTGTGTGAATTCGAGGTTCTGCTCGGCCAGGTGAGCAGCAGGATCCAGGCTGCGGCGTCCAGTGCTGCTGCCAGCATCTCCCTCATGTCTGCTGCAGCGGTAAACGCAGCTAGATCAGGCCCCTTCTGCATTAACCACACTGACTGATTTCACTGTTCCCAAACTCACAGCTGTTCTCTGACAATACAAGTTCAACTGAGTCAAAACACATCTACAGTATCACAGTTATTAATCAACTTAATATTTCAGCAGTCTAATATGGCGTTTGTTTTCTGAAAAATGTATTTCTATAAAAAGTATTTACCCTTATATTTCTTATATTCTTATATTTCAAATTTTCTTTTAAACTCCCTTTCTTCTTTTCTTTTCTTTCAAAATGTCAAAACTTTCAAACTTACTTTCAAACTCCCTTCCTTCCTTCATTTCTTCCGTCCTTCCTTTTCTTTCTTTCTTTCTTTCGTTCTTTCTTTTTACCTTTTTCCTTTCTTCAGTTCATTTGAGAAGTGGGTTAATTTATTTGTTCACTTTTTACTTTATTTGATTACTTGTCATTTTTATGACTTCCTTAATATATTAATATATTTTGTGTGTGTTTGTGTGTGTACACTATCATTCAAAAGTTTGGGGACAAACTGTTATAGTGGTTTTAAAAGAAGTATCTTATGCTCGCTAAGGCTGCATTTACTTGATCAGCATTTCAGTAATATTAAGAAATATGATTACAATTTAAAACTTTTAAACAACTTCAATCATTATAATATCCTTATGTGGTGCTAAAATAACATCTTTAATTATTTTCAATGCTGAAAACAGTTTTACAACTTTTTTAGGATTCTTTGACAAATGTAAAGTTTAAAAGAACATAATTATTTTAAGTGGAAGTTTTTGTAATATAAATGCCAATGCTCTCTTTTGATCAATTTAACGCATTCTTGCTGAATAAAAGCATCAACTTACTGACTCCAAACTTTTGAACAAGAGTGTACAAAATCTAAAATATAATGTGCACAAGAATAAAAAAAATCATCTCATTAACCGCCGTTCGTTTCTCGCAACACAAGGCACCAGAGTCCAAGAAGGAGACTCCAGCTGCTCCTCCCGTGGCAGTCGCCGCTCCACCCGCGAAGGCCAAAGAGGAGCCGAGACCCACCGCTCCTGCACCACAAGCGGCCCCGGACAACAAATCAGCCGATAGCACAGAGAACGCCTCCCCCAACATGCCCCACAAGCTGGAGAAGAGGAACTCCCTCCAGCTGTTCTTAAAGAACCTGGTTAAGTAGAAACCCAGAGATTCTCCAGGGCTAGGGATTCCACCCACACAACTGTGTGCGCATTCGCAATCTGTGTACTTTAACTCTTCAGTTGCATGTAGTTTGCCAGTTAAATGCTGTCGAGAAGCATTTTGTAATTCTGTAACCATCCTGATTATTTAGATATTGCTGGCTATTAATCTTAAAACAGTGATCTTTGAGGTGAGGAATTAAAATACAAAAATCAATATTTACAGTGTATGACCACTAGATGGCCTCAATTACCAACCTATCTAGATTATTCGATCAATTCCATAGCAGCTTATTTGTGTTGCGTTTGAATAAAATATAATAAATATTTTAAATTATTTAATTAAACTGGACACTAAGATTTAGCTCGTAATTTTTTTATTGCATGAAATCTAATAATATTGCATCTCATCATCTAAACGTGTCATTTTAATCTTTGTTGCGATATATAACCTCTTCATCAATAAAAAATACTTTTTGTCATGTAATATAAATGTTTCTATCCACAATTATGGTTATTTCGAGCGGGTTCATCCCTGTCAATTATCTCGGACAAACGTGTGATAACAACTAAATGATCTCAGATAATAAAGCACACAAATTCACCAAAGCTGCGCTTTAAAGACGTGTTGGAGCAAGATCCGCTTTTGCAAATAAAAGCCCAGTTGTCAGACGGGTTTTGCTTCAGGCACCCTTACAGACGAGCAGTTAAAAAACACACTTTCTTGCTAAATTAGGATTACTAATATTGCGCTTTGCGTTGGTGTGTCTCACAGGGCCAAAAACGCCATTCTGATGCCGGAGTGCAAACGGACCCTGTGGCACCCGAGAAGGCCAAATAAAACCCCACCTTTGTTTTGATCGCTCATCTGTGCAAATATATAGTTTTACATTTTCCTGGGAAAAAAAGTGTTTGCAGGTCTAGGTTTCCACATGGCTATATATACATATATATATATATATATAATTTTTTTCTGGCCAAAATATATTTTAAATATATTTTAAATATATGTTGTAAAATTATGTAATTATGATTTAGTTTACAGCTAATTTCTTAATAGTTTGCTTTGTTAAGTCTGATATTTCCAAAGAGGGCGTGTGTCAGGACCGCCTACAGGGCAGCAAAAATTTGGAAAACAATTAACATGTGACAAAAGATGCATGGCATTCTAGGCACTTATTGTGAGTGCAGTGTGCTCTTCGTGCTGGTGTTTTCCCGCGCAGGCGCACCATCCCAGCTGTGTGTGTGTGTGTGTGTGTGTGTGTGTGTGTGTGTGTGTGCGAGATCACGGGTTTGGGGCTGGAGAGGGGTTTGCTGGAGGACCCTTGTCAGCACTAATGTGTGTCACAGCCGACAGACAGACAGATCAGAGTCTGGATCAGATTTCTAGAGCCTCAGGGTGCCGAGACCTTCCCAGAGTCTTAATTCTTCATTATTCTTCATTATTCTTCCACATTTATTTAAATATTTATAAACCCCAAAAGTGGGGTTGGTAATTTTGTGTGTGTGTGTGTGTATTTCTGAAAGAAGCCTTTTCTGCTCACCAAAGCTGCATTTATTTAATTAAAAATACAATAAAAACAGTAATAGTATGAAATATCACTGTAAATATTACTTTGTACTGTAATATATTTTAAAATGTAATTTATTCCTCTGATCAAAGCTGAATTTTTTAGCATCATTACTCCAGTCTTCAGTGTCACATGATCCTTCAGAAATCATTCTAATTTGCCAGTGTGCTGCTTCAGAAGCATCTAGACACATTCTCTCACAGACACATGCATTCTTGGCAAGTAAATGTAGCTATGTTGGCTAAAGAGTTCCAGCATTTGTGGAAGTGCTTGAGGAGGATTTGTTAGGTGTGCTACCTTCAAGTATGTGTATATTAAGAGAGCTGCTGACAGAGGGAGGCAGAACAGAGCTGCTATTGTCCTGCAGACTCATGGCCGCTCTCATAACTGTCATGAACGCTTCTCTGAGAGATGTGATATCTCTGAGACCCTCACGCTAACCTCACGTGAGGCCTGCTGACCATTAAAGACATAACAATGTGCTGTCATTTACTCAACCTCGTGTAACTTTTGAAACTCATATGAAAGAGAGTCATAAGTGTTTGGAAGAACATGAGAGTGAGCGTAGAATTTAGTAGGGACGCTAGGGATGTGTCCCTACCAATATCCAGCAACTACTAAATTGTCCCTATAGCAATCATTTTGATCAAACAATTAAATATGTGTACATGTAACCACTGTTGTTGTAATTTCTGCCGCATCTGAAATAGGTCATACTATTGATATTACCTGAGAAGTAACAAATACGCTATAAAACCGCACGCTTTTAAAAACATACATGTGCGGAATAAGAACATAAACGGATGTGTTCAAAACATACAGTATGTGTACAGTTCCACTGAGTGATAAAGTTTACCCTCTTTAACTTTATGTTGTTAAACTGAATGTACAAAGCAAACTGTTAGCTGAAATATCCACAAAAAAGGTTGTGTCCCTACAATGTCAAAATCTAACCTTCATCCTATAGCTGTTTTGTGTTCATCTGCTTCTTCCATTTGTTTTTTTTACATTGACTAGCACTCTATATAGACTAATACAACCAGAAAAAAAAAATCTCATATTTATTACTAGGGTTGCAAAGGGGTGGAAAATTGTTGGTAAATTTCCAAAAATCCCTGGAATGTTCCAAAAAATACTGGAAAGTTTCCAAAATTTCTGGAAATTTTTGCATCTTTTTGCAACCCTATTTGTTACAATATAAACTGATCAATTTAACATTCACTTCAATTGTATGGATGCTCTCAACTGGTTTCCTATTGAACTCTCACCAACTGAATTGCAGTGGTCAAACTATTTAGTGAATTAATCTACAGACTCAATCATAATGCACAATGTTTCCATCTAACATGTATTTTGAGGTGCAGCTTGAGTGTTTCAATTGTTAGCAGTAAAGCAGTAGCTCACCTGAATATGTTCGTAGATTTGTGGGCCATTCCACCGAATAGGTGCCATTTGCTTCCAAATGTTTTTTTATTTTTCTATATTTTTTAAAGACTGAATCTAGTAATACACATATTTAAATATTCAAAATTTGTATTGGTCCATCTCAGGTAACTTTATTACATTTTTTATACAATTTTTAAGTGGAAGATGGATGCATTTTTCTCAGTCCTGTTACCAAAACTCTGTCTTTTAAAAAGCATGTTTAAAAATATGTCAAAAAATTCCTTAATTTTCCCCTCAGGCAGATGTTTTATTTTAAATAAATTGTTGGTTTCATGGTCAAAAAATATAATTTTTTATCATTAAAAAAAATCACTATTTAGCTACACAAGGTGTATTTTTCTAAAGTACACAACCCCATTTTTTCATTTGAAAGGTGATTCAAACCTCAAGCTTATCAATTTTCTATTGATGCAATTTATTAATCAATGGGATAAATTATGTACAAAACTTAATTTTTTTTAAAATAGTGGTTTAACTTTATTTTTTAAAGAAAAAATATTTAGTAACAGGAATGAAACAGGGTAACAGGAATGAGTATCCATTATATAAGTATACAGGTTTGACTACACATGTGAGGTGTTAATGCTCACACTGATATAGTGAAAGTGTTGAACATTGACTAGTGAGCTGACCTCACTGCTAAAAAAGGCCAAATCATGTTTCTATTTAAATCTAGTGGTCTTCAGAGGTTTTTGTTAGGGTTATGTTTAGGGGTAGAGGACGGGTTATGAGATAAGATATAAATAACAAAAAATAATTAATATTCAATATTACATTAAAATGGCTATTAAAAATAATAAACTTAACAAATAATATGTTTTCAGTTTTTCGGTGGATATTGTTTGCTTATAGCACAGCTCACACTCAAACGCTATTCCATATATGAGCCAAAAACATAATTGCCACAGGACAGAAATTTCAAGTACATTTTCTGTCATACTTGCAGGAATGTAATATAAAACAACAATGCAGGAACAACCATAGGTTTTCTCTGGGCAAAAACATTGTCTCAGTGTGGATAGAAGGCCAAAACATTGAGAAAAAGATGCATTTTCATCTAGATTAATATGGATGTAGCGTAATATTTACATTAATAAATCTGATGACACTACTCACTCCTGTTACTTTTACCCAGTTACTATATATAAATATAGGATAAATGAGTACATGGGTAACAGGACTGAAAGTAACAGGATTGAGATTTTAGGATAAAATTAGCAAATACATATAATCTAGCCACATGGAGTACATGCTAATATTATGAGAATACTCAGCAAAGTATAGTGATTCACCACAGATTTGCATTTTTAAAATAAACAAGTAAAATCTAAGAAATAATTTAGGTAACAGGACAGTATATTTATAATGACGCTCCCAGCCACCATTAAAATATCATCAAATATACAGAAAAGAAAATAAGACCACATGCTTTCGGTCATTTCATTGCCTTCAGATGATCCAGATGTTGCAACATTATGTTGAAAATGTGTCTTGTGGAATTTTCCCAGTTTTTTAGAGGGGGGAATATGTTAGGGTAACAGGACTGAAAGTAACAGGATTGAGATTTTAGGATAAAATTAGCAAATACATATAATCTAGCCACATGGAGTACATGCTAATATTATGAGAATACTCAGCAAAGTATAGTGATTCACCACAGATTTGCATTTTTAAAATAAACAAGTAAAATCTAAGAAATAATTTAGGTAACAGGACAGTATATTTATAATGACGCTCCCAGCCACCATTAAAATATCATCAAATATACAGAAAAGAAAATAAGACCACATGCTTTCGGTCATTTCATTGCCTTCAGATGATCCAGATGTTGCAACATTATGTTGAAAATGTGTCTTGTGGAATTTTCCCAGTTTTTTAGAGGGGGGAATGTGTTAGGGTAACAGGACTGAGTGAAAACCTGGGGACATGACTAAAATGTGTATTTTATCCAAAATATTATACATTTATTTTGAAATAAATATTTAAAGCACAGATGGGATGTGGAGGTACACAAAAATGCAAAATAAAAATGATTTCTGAAGGATTTTAAATAGTATATTTCATGTTAAAATGTAGCGTTAAGCACTAGGGACATCTACAAATGCAATATTTTCAGTGTTTTAGGTAGTTTTTAATATTTTTTTTATTATATATTTAAAATGTGCAGTTAGATTAATGTGCTTAATAATAAAATGTATTTTATAGTTAATTTTTATGTATGTTTGTATAATGTCCGGGGGAAAGAAATGGCACCCATTCAGTGGAATGGCCTGGATATTATATTTGTAAACATCATAATTTTTTCACTTATTTCAGTTAATGTCATTAAACTAGCGAGCTAAGCCAGTAGTTTTACTGACAGTTTTGTACAAACATGGGTGAAGACGTAAAATGCGGAGGAACAGACAAACCGATTCAATTGCGTTAGTCATTTACGCTGGAACCGATCCAACTTATTCAAACTCGTGACTTCGATCATTCAGTTCAAGTGATTGACTAGCAAAAACCAGATCAAAAGAGCCATTCATTTTCAAATTTCAACATGTCTTGTAATGATTTAAAAAAACGCGTAGTGATGGGTGAAAGAGCTTTCAAAACTCCGCATCAGTTAAACCACTGTTCGCGTATCACGAATCATATGATTCAGATCGGGACTTCGGAGTGAGTTGCACGAATCATTTGATTCAGATCGGGACCTCGGAGCGCTTATCGCGAATCATTTGATTCAGATCGGGACCTCGGAGCGCTTATCGCGAATCATTTGATTCAGATCGGGACCTCGGAGCGCTTATCGCGAATCATTTGATTCAGATCGGGACCTCGGAGCGCTTATCGCGAATCATTTGATTCA